CAAAGCTTTTTCAGAAGCGCGAGAAAGATAAACAACTTTTTCAAGCTGTGCATTACGGGGGGCAAGAATATGTGGTAAGCAAAACATCGAGGTCTAATCCAGGTAACATCTATAGATTTTTAGTGGATTTGAGAAGAAAAACATGTACTTGCGGACAATGGAGCAGCGATGGTATTCCATGCGTGCATGTTCACGGACTGTATCATTCTTTTCGACGGTTGGCTGACGACGAAATCTCTTTAATATATTCAGTTGAACAATATATGAGATGTTACAATGTACACATCAACCCTGTGCTTTTTCCACAACAATCAGTTTACAAGAATTTACGTATTCTACCTCCAGTTAGGCCTGCTGAAGAAGTTTATCGGTCTGGTCGTCGACAGCGAAATCGATTCTTGGGAGAGATGGACAGAGTTGCAAGGCATCAAAGCTGAATTCTCACATTTCTTGGGAGAGATGGAGAGAGTTGCAAGTCATTAAAAATCATCTGTTCTTTTAGATTCTCTTTTTAATTTCTGTTGACGTTTGTTGAACAAATCTTATTTATATTATGAATGTAATTTTGTTGTTTTGATTTTTTTATGTCAAATTAATTATATCATCATATGAGTTCTTATTTTAATTATTTTTGAATTGAATCAATGCTAAAAGAAATTAATATAAATTAAGTTTTTATTTTGAAAATTAGAAATTAGTTTAAAATATAAAAAAACTAGTTGTCTACCCCGTGCTTCGCACGGGCTGGGGATGTATGCACGTGGTTGTTGTATGCAAATTAGTTACTACCTGTTATGCCCTTGGATGTCAATTATCACCGTTTTGTTAATGTGTTTTAGAAAAATAAAGAATAGTAAAGTTTATTAATGCCAAAAAATTAAAAATATAAAAGAGGACTAAATTAAATCCCCTCTAAAAATAGGAATGTAACTCCTATTTTGTTATGACCAAAACCGGGTTGAGAGGAAGAAACGAAAAAAAATCCCTGATCAATAAGTCAAATACCGTACCATGACAAAGTCTCCTAACAGCCTTGGTCCTATTAAAAAAGCAACATAAGCTAACGAACAAAGTAAAACTAAAATCCTAGTAGAAGTCAATAAACTTGACCTATTTTTACAAAAACATGCCCTACCCAATTGGGCATTAAACTAACCAGCATCAAAGCAAACCAAGCTAGTAGCAATTACCATTAGTCAAGACTGATATCTGCCTTTGCCATAGCCATAAAAACCCATGAGTAGAAACTTGTGTCAAAATCAGTATTCCAACACCCAAAATCAAGCAACTACTCTTAATTACTCTTTACCCCGTGCTTCGCACGAGCTCGCATATTTTTCCATAAAATATATCTATATGTTAACATAGATATTTTAAGCTAACATTTTGGATGTTTGTTAAAAGTTTAATTCATATATGAACATAATATGAATTAAAATTTAATTTTATTTATTTTAATGTTTTAATAATAATATGATATACATTAATAAAATAAATAATGTAATAAGATAAATTTTTTGAAACAAATCGTTTAATTAATAAATATGCATATGTGATTAAATTTATATAATCATTTTTTAAAAAGTAATAAACTAAAATAAGTTGTGGATAGTATAAAAATAATATATATATATATATATATATATATATATAATATGGAGTATATTTTACAATGATGAAATATATATTTATAGAATTATTATAAAATAAAAAAAATTTATGCAGATTTATTCAAAGATCTTTTAAAAAAATTAAAATGGACCAATGAATTGAAATGCATAAATCCACATCATTAGTGAGTGCACATGTGGATGCACATGTGGCATGCCACATGTCAACACTACAACAATTAAACTCTCTTTTACATATATATATAGGATATAGGATAAGATAGGATATAGGATAGGATAGGATATAAAGAGTAAAAGATTAGGAAGAGAACTAGTCAACAAAAAGTAAATTCAAAGGAAGGCACCGACTTCCTTTGAGAAAAAGTTCACAGAATCCGTACGCAATGTGTGACAGCCTGTTTCATATTAAAAAAGGTTTTTTCAAAGGAAGTCGCTGACTTCCTTTGAGCAAAATTAAAAAAAAAAACAGAAATTTTAAAGGAAGTCAGCGACTGCATTTTTCCCTCTGCCGAATTCAGTCCAATAATTCTTCCTTGTCTCGAAATTTTTTCAATGGTTCTGATATGGGTATTTTTTTTTATCTAATTTTCTCCAAATTGAAAAGTGAGACGGCACCTCGATTCCTTCACCAGACAATCAAACTCTATACAAGTATATAATTTTTATATTTATTGTAATAATTTCTGACATATAATTTTTAAGAGTTTGATTTTGATAGAGTCAAAATTGACTTAATTAATCATTTATTCAAAAAATCTCATATCAAGTGATTTTATTTAATCTAATGATTTATTTTAATAAATCATTTAAGAATTCACGTCAATCATACAAATTTTAGTTTATGTCTGTACCTGTAATCAAGACCACACACATTCAATATATATATTGAATTTATCTTGATGAGATTTATCAAAAAAATAAAATATTTTATTAAGAAACAATTTTGTCTAATTGAAGAATAATTCAATACTACTTATAGGTTGTGTTTTGGGGCGTTACATTTCCAACTTCGAAAACTTGCTGCTAAGGTCTCTCACTAATTTGCCACCTCACATTTGTTCTTCAAAAATAACTTTAGAAATAACTTTAATCTTTGTTATAGAGAATAAACGCTACGAAGCAGCATTGAAGATTCGATAAACGAAAAACGAGAATTAGAACTTGCTAGTTTAACAAATCTCGAATACGTTTTTAGATCAAAGTTATTTCAGGATTCTCAAAATATTATAATCAGATAAGACGTTAATCATGAAAAAAGCCTTTTGAAATCTAAGAGTTGACATGACTATATTATATACTCTGTCTGTTCCTCATAGATATTCCCAATAACCCTTTTTTGTCTACAATACTCTTCTCATTTCATTTTTTTTAACAATTAAAATACCACAATTATCCCCACTTACTTTATTTATTACACCTCACCCACCTCATTTAAAACACTCCACCCATTTCCATTAAAAATATTGTGGTAAACTTTCACTTTTTTTCAACTCCCTTTAAAAACTATCAAAAGTCAAAATGAGAACATCATAGAAGGACGGAGGGAGTATAAAATATGTAGTCAAAATAATTAAACATAATAAATAAAGTGTGACTGTGTAATTAGTATTTTGTATATGAGAAGAACATTTCCGAATGAATGGATCAGAGTAGTACATTGAAACTTTTTTTTGAAATGAAATTGATGTATAAATTCTAAAATTACAACGACATTTTTATGCTCTTTCACATTTTCATGTTACAAAAAAGCGCACGCACTCAAAAATTCTTAGATAGAATACACTAATGGTGTCCCCAATCATAATTTTTTCTAGATCCGTCACACCTCCGTATATAGGCTAATTACAAATTAAAACATGTAAAATAAGGTTTTGGCTTGTATATTTTTTTTAAATTAAATTATACTATCTCCGTTTCAAGTTAAATTATATTTAACTTCTTTTTCTATTTTCGATAATCATTTAATAAAATAATATAATTAAGTAACCACTAATTTGTTTGTATTTCTTTATACAATGTTTGAAAATGTAATTTTTATTTTTTAATTCAAACATGTTGAGTATATAACACACAACACACACAAAAAATCGGCGAGAATCAAGAGAGAACGGAACACAAACGACGCACAAGAATTTAACATGGTTCGATTGCAACGGTGGTTTTATTCACTTAAAGTGTCTCAGGAATTACAAGTACATAATGCGTATATATAGGAAGAAACATAAAACTACAAAACTTGTTCCCCAAGAAATAAAGACGGGCTGACCCAAGTCGGGCTCGAACGTATTTAGCCTCCACAAATCTAACAAAGCATTGTAAATCGAAACAGATTATTTAAAATGGGATAGAGGAAGTATAACTTAAACTTACTTTTTTTTTTAAAAAAAAATAAAGTATTACTCCCACAAAACACTCTTTCTTTCTATTTTTATCCGTCCCAAAAAATCTATCTCTTTTCTATTAAGAAGTCAATTTTATCTCTATTAATTTTTAATTTATTTACTACATCACACTTTTTCTCTATTAATTTACTCATTTAATCCTATTTTATCCACCACACCAAATGACATTAATGACATTTTTAGGAAGTCAACACCAAAATAAACTTTATCTTCTTGTGGAGGTAAGGCATCACGAACTCTCTGCGCTTCATCCACTCCCAATAGCCGTCCATCCAGTCCTTAGAGGTAAGATCGGTCGATTGCTTCATCTGAACTGTAGCTGCAATTGCAAGCTTTTTTATTTTTTATTTTCTCACTACTTTGAGTAGTTTTGAATTTTGATGATGCGTCTGAAGATTACGGAGTATTTGTTTTCCCAAAAGGGTTGAGTTGACGTTAAAGGATGAACCTTAAAATTTAAAATTGTGATATTTTGGAAAGTCCCTGTTTTTAACCCGTATCACACGGGTGATATATGGATCGGATTTGTATGAAATAAATGAGAAGGTCTGGTTTGGTATACGGAATTCAAATTTTGGATTTGAAATTGAGGACTTTAATTTCAAATCTGTTGTTTGGTAGTACACAAATTATGTGGATTTGGAATTGGTAGTGCAAAAAATGAATTGGAATTGATGAATTCAATTATATGGAATTGAATCCCATGGAATTTCAACTCTAATTCAATTCCAATTCCATCGATTTTTTATACCAAACGGACCCTAACACTATGTTTGGTTCAAGGAATTTGAAAAGAAATAAAAAAATAATTTTCCTTTCCTACCACTTTTCGTTTTTTTTCTCTCTAACCAAACAAGAAAACTTATTTTCCACTTAATTTTCTTTTCTTTTCTCTATCAAATTCCTTGAACCAAAGATAGTGTAAGTGAATTGCGGGATAGTTAATGAGTAAACGGATGGATGAGGACAAAGACCCACCCAATCCAAATCCACCCACTGCCATGTAATCATCCTCCGTTGCAGAGGTAGCTTGTCAACTACTCCCTCTCTACCTAATTTTAATTTGATTATAATATTCCCTCCTATTCTTTCCCAAAAAAAATTACAAAATTGCAATTTTAACACCATTTGGACCATTTTGCCCTCCCTTTTATTTCCCTATATAATGATTTGACTCCTCTTTAATTGGGGATAATTTGGGCAAAAACTTAATGGTTTGACTTCTCTTTAATTTTCTCAAAAATAGAATATTGTAATCTAAAAGGGAAATTGATTTGACTCCTACATTTTTGCTTGTTTTTACTTGCCAACTAGAAATTTGTCGTTTCTTGTCGTTTTTTGAATTTGATTGAAATTGAGTTGAAATTACGTGAAATTGATTGCATTTAAGTAAAATTTAGTTGAGTTTGGGTAAAATCAAGTGCGCTGGGTGATATTGAGTTGCAATTGAGTGAAATTAAGTTGAAATTGGATTGAAATTACTATTTGTAATATTATTATCATTATTTTAACATTATTTTTTTTAATATCTATCTGTTTTGATCTAAATAGATGTGATCTAATTTTAATAGATTTGATTTGATCTGAATGGATTTGATTCGTAATTTGATGTGATCCCAAGTAATAAGTAGTATAAATAAGTCGAAAGAGAACGGGGCCTTAGAGTTAAGTAAAAAATTTATAATTTGGTGAATAAAACTTGCAATATAAACTCCATGTTTACCAAATTATTGTTTTTTTCACTTTGAAGTACCTGTAAGTAGTGTAATGGAGAACATTACAAAATGAAGGTAATAACTGCAAGGAAAAAAGTGGATTATTATTTATTTTTACAGTAGCCTACAAATGAAGTACTAACTAGAGCAGCACTGCTGAAGTTCTTGCACATGTTTCTTATGTCTGAATTGTTTTCCATCTCGTCTCTAAAAGTCTAAATGTGTAAGTTTCATTTTCAAGGGGCTCTACTCAATTTCACCAACTACATTGTAAACGTTCCTCTCCCTACTCTGTTTTTGTGTGTGTATATGCTCTACTTAATCGTGTGCAACTGCCTTTCTCACTATTATTTCTCTTAATTGTCTATGTTTCTTCTATTAAAAAATATCCCTATTTCTTTATTTTTTGATGGGATCTGTAAAGTTCTTCATTTGGCAGTTTTCATTTCAGTTTATGATTCAAATGGTTTCTTGTAAGTTGTGATATGAAGTTCTTGATGTTGTTTGTGAGGTTTTGGAAACTTCTATAAAAGAAAAAGGGTGTAATCCTAGTTGTTTCCATACATAGTAAATTGTGGGCTAGCTGGAAATAGTTGGTAAGTTCTGAATTATTAGATTCTTAAAGAACAAATATATATTGCAGGGAAATGGGAGAAGCTACTGAACTCAATTTCCCTGAGGTAATTGGTGGGATATTATCAGAAGAACAAATGGCAGTTTTGTATGAGACTATGAAGAGTGTTGTTGTTCGTGTAGAAGTTTATTCACACGAATATTCATCTTTTGACTGCGAAGGAGCAGGCGTTTTTGTTTCATCTCGACATATTTTAACCTTGTCTACCCTACTTAATGATGACAAAAAGGCCCAAGTGTTGGTGAAAACTCAAAATGACACTGAGATTGGATGCCGTGTAAGCTATCTTGATGCAAAAATGGGCTTAGCCATTCTTGAGATCGAAAACTCAAGTTCAAGTCAACATTTTCCTTTTGCTAAGATTTCTGGTAAAAAGCTCAAGATTGGTGCCCAAGTTTATTGCATTGGGCATCCAGGATACTTGGATTATTCTTTTCCAGTTGGACATATTTCATATCCATGTCTAACATATGGTGAGTTTAAGAAATCGATGGGAAAAGATCAGAAAGTGTCTATTGAAGAGATAACCATGGATCCAAGTGCTATGTTTATATGTTATGTTCCAGAAGTGGATGATCTTAGTCTTAAAAGCTCAGTAAAGTTGGTGCAACTCAACAATGTGCACGGGGATGGTCTTGCTGGTGCAAGAGGAATGCCTGTGTTTAATTCCTTGGGTCATATTATTGGCCTGTACCTATTTGAGTCTAGAGATCAATGTTACCCCATACATGCAAAGACATTGAGGGCCTTTATTAGGAGATCCAAGACTTTGAGGTAATAAATTAACACTCTTTATTGATTAAACATGTCGGCCACTAGTTCTATATCCCTTGTGACATTTGATTCAACTCATAACATGCTGTTTTGGATTTGTCTAACTTGCTCCAAAACATGTCATGGACTATTTTCTTACTCAGCTTTCGAGAAAAAAAATACCTCATCTTTCAAGCTATATCAAGTAGTTAAAATTTGAGTTTTATTAAAACACTATGGATGGCTCTTAGTTCCCTAATTGTGTATTTAGTTAGTAATGCTTTTTGTTCTCTTTGGTTTTTCTTTTCCTTACAATGAAGTTTTTGTACCAAGTACTCTGTAGAGTTTGTAGTTGTCATTTACTGATTTGTCAATAGTTCCTACCGCTAGAACTGTTCTTATTCCTCTTTGTGTCTGTTTTTCGGGTTTGGAGTGTCTATTCCTTTCTCCGAAATGGTCACTTAAGCATGGGGTTGTTTTGCTCTAAGAGCTCAAACACTACTCTATCGTTTAAAGCGTAGTGTAGGGTACACATTCTTGGTATGTTATTGTTGGAATAATTGTAAGGCTATGACGATTGCTGTTTCATTCTTTTATCGTTTATTGCATTGCCAGAAGTTTTGTCTAACTGTGAAGACATTTGACTTGACATTTGCAGGCACCACAAGGCTAGGTCGAAGTGAAGGGTTATGCACCGATCGATCTTTGAGAATACTTAGAATGGAATGGAGCACAACGGGCTTGTTCATGTGTCTTTTGGATGACTCACTTAACTGCAAACATTGGTGCCTTATCTCTTATGGAATTAAGGTCTTATTTTTTCTTATTCTTTTTATAATCAGATCATATCAGACTAAATCAGATCAGATCGAATAGATCAGATCAGATCCAATCAGATATTAGATCCAATCATATCAAATCAGATCCAATTAGATTAGATCAGATCCAATCATATCAGATCAGAACTTATTAAAATCAGATCCCATCAAAAATTATTATTATTATCATCATCATCATCATCATCATCATCATCATCATCATCATCATCATCATCATCATCATCATCATCATTATCATCATCATCATCATCATCATCATCATCATCATCATCATCATCATCATCATCATCATCATCATCATCATCATCATCATCATCATCATCATCATCATCATTATTATTATTGTTCTTAAAAATGAAAAAGAATAAACTTTAGAAATAGGTTAAATAGAAAACTGAGAAAGTAATCCTTAATTATTAGACGCCGGAAATATTAGTTTTAAAATACATTGACAATATCAATCTAATTCTACTTTTAAAATATATTTTTATTGCTACTTGTAATTTGAGTTTCTAAAGTTTTGATCTTTTATAAGGATGGAATATTTTAATAAAAATATTATATCTTCTATATATTGATTATCTAAATTTAATTACTTTTTAAATGTATATCTAAATCAAATATTTATTCTAATGTATATATGAAGTAATTATTAAAATATTAAATTAATATTCTAATTTCACAAAAAATATTCATAAAATAAAAAATATTATTACATTATAATATAAATGATTATTCTAATATATGAATTAACTAATTTTATTTTATTAAAAAATAGTCATTAAATAAAAAAATATTGATTTTATTATAATATGAATTATCATTACAAATTTCAAACGTTATTATAAAGTCCAATCAAATTATTGATTTGAAATTTTAAATTAAATCATAATTAATCAAATCAGATCAGATCCAATCAGATCAGATCCGATCATATCAGATCAGATTCGATCAGATCAGAACTTATTAAAATCAGATCAGATTAGAAAAAATAAGTTGAACGGAATGGAGCCTAAGTGTCTTATGTATGGTTTACTTAAGAGTCTATTTTTAAGTTACAATTAAGTGAACCATAAAGAGGTTAAATTGGTGAACCATGCACTTAATTCCACGAGACACCCATGTAATCTCTATCTGTTAAGATAGTGTTGTGCACATTGGAGATTCACTTAATTCCATTTTTGTGAATCATTATACCTTGTTCCGTTCAATTTATTTTTTCTTAATTTTTTTATTCTTATTAAAATTATATCAGATCAGACCAGATCAGATCAGGACTTATTAAAATCAGATCCCATCAAGAATTATTATTATTATTATTATTATTATTATTATTATCATTATTGTTATTGTTATTATTGTTCTTAAAAATTAAAAAGAATAAACTTTAGAAACGTGTTAAAGAGAAAACTGAGTAAGTAATCCTTAATTATTAGACGTCGGAAAAATTAGTTTTAAAATACATTGACAATGTCAAAATAACTCTACTTTTAAAATATATTTTTAATGCTACATGTAATTTGAGTTTCTAAAATTTTGATCTTTTATAAGGATGAGATATTTTAATAATTTAATAAAAATATTATCTCTTCTATATATTGATTATCTAAATTTAATTACTTTTTAATGTATATATAAGTTAAATATTTATTCTAATGTATATATGAAGTAATTATTAAAACATTAAATTCATATTCTATTTTCACAAAAAAAATAATCATAAAATAAAAAATATTATGACAATATAATATGAATGATTATTCTAATATATGAATTAACTAATTTTATTTTATTAAAAAGTAATCATTAAATAAAAAATATTGATTATATTATAATATGAATTATTATTACAATTTTAAAACGTTATTAGAAAGTCAAATCAAATTATTGATTTGAATTATAAATCAAATCATAATTAATCAGATTAGATTAGATCAGATCCAATGAGATCAGATCAGGTCCGATCAGACCAGATCCAATCAGATCAGATTAGATCATATCCAATCAGTCTAATTAGATCAGATCAGATTTGAACTTATTAAAATCAGACCAGATTAGAAAAAATAAGTTAAATGAAACGGAGCCTTAGTCTCCTTCCCAAAAGTTCACGTGAATAAAATCTGTTTCATTGCAATTTAAAGCAAATTGCGTAGAATCTTGAGATCTTTTGATTTTATTGGAATCAATTTAAAAAAACACACAAAATGTGAATTCAAAATTATACGTATAACTTGAATAATTTGAAAATTATTTTAATATTTTTATAATGTGATTGACTCGTAATCATTTATCTTAATAAGAAAATATCTAAACTAATTTCAAAGCAGATGTTTATAAGTTATGCATGGGTATTTCTTTGGACCATTAGAAAAAGTAAATTAAAAAAATTAAAAAAAAATTTAGGAGTAATTGTAGAGGGTGTGGCGGATTGGAATATAAATTTTGTTAATTTGAAAGTACAACTGAATCTATTTTGCAAATCTTTTAAGTTCTTTTTCTTCATTTTAAACAATAAAATCATTTTTTGCTCAGAGCTTTTAACAAAACTGATAGAACGAGACAGTTAAGATTTAGGGTTGGTCTTCGGTCCAAGATATTTTCGCTTTTAGATTTCGATCCGATCTGATCCAAATCCAATTACCAATTGGTCCGAATGGAGTGACCGATAATTAATACACAGAGTACTCTATATCTACATGCATGCAGAACTTTTAATGTATCTTCATCACTTCATGCATTACGCCTTACTCTTTTTTTTTTGTTGAAAAAACATACTCCGTAACTCCTTACTTCGTAGACTAAAAATTAACCAATCCGTCTTGACGATGAGAATGGCTATCGTACAACGAGGTGTACCTAGGGGCTAGGGCTAGGTAACCCAACAACGGTTTATTTTGAATCAACAAAAAGTCCATTTTGGATCAAAAGAGTGTTCATTGTCACACATTTGTTCATTACAATTATTATACGGAGTACTCATTTTCATAGAGCCTAGTAATTATTCTAAAATAATACACTACTCATTTATAATGGTCATATATGGAGTACTTCGTATTGTATTATTCTTTTTACGGAGTAATATTCTTTTAGTATTATTATCCTTTAATATAATAATTCAGACTCCGATCACCAGAACTTGACACGTTGGTGATGACTATAAACATTAATTAGATCTAAAATCATTCGTCAAATAAAGACTTCGTATATGGGAAGTTTATTTATAATCATTGACCGTTTTTAGCAAATAGTGTATGGTAATTTTTAAAACTTCATATTTATACATTTGATTAGTTTAAACTAATATATTTCTTATTCCAAAAGAAATTATTTCCTTTAAATTCATGTAACTTACTCATATCCTATTAAAAATTAAAAGCAATTTTTTAATTAAAATACAAAATTTACTTCCTTAAAAATGCAATACTTTATTCTACTAATTTATGAAGAAATCACGCTAAACAAAAGTAAAATATAAAGGATATCCTGAAATAGAAGCTCCATGTTTTATCCCAAAAATAAAAGTCTTTACTGTGCTATGGACATTTCACAATACTTTTTTTATTATATATTGACATGATTGGCACTATATAGGTATTTTAACTCCTACTTTGTGAATAAAAAATATGGAACTTCTATTTTGGCATATTTTCGATGTTTTACTTCTACTTGAGTTTTTTTTCCTAATTTATTCTCCGTATTTTTACAAGTATGTACTACTCCGTTTAAACAACAACAACAACAACCTAAATAAATCCCACAAGAGTAGGGTTTGGGGAGGGTGTGTGTACGCAGACATTACCCCTACTCGAAAGTAGAGATGCTGTTTCCAAAGAGACCCCCGGCTCAAAGTCGAAAGTTGCATTGCTTGACTAAATGCTATTTCATACATTAAAGAAGCGCAGACAGTTTAGAGATCTATTTTGATTTATTCTATCCATTTATAAATAAAAAAATCAATTTTTATGGTTACAACTTTTGACCTGTTACTTTTTTCAAAAAACATTCATATGATATTAAAAATAAAATGTTTATATATATATATATATATATATATATATATATATATATATATATATATATATATATATATATATATATATATATATATACGAAAAATTGTTTTTATTAATTAAATCTGAAAGACGGTACATGCTCATTTTTCAGAGCATCAATTACATTTGGGGTACAGGAAGTAAGGGTACAATATTCAATGAATTTGGCATCCTGTGTTTTATCCTCTTTGGCTAGGAGATCTGCAGCCCGGTTGCCTTCCCGTAGAATGTGTGAAGTGCCAATCTGATTATCTTCAATGATTTTACGTAAGACATCGATTCCAAACGGGGATCCATCGGGAGTAGAGTATGTGCTTAAGTGCCTGATGATGTCTAGGGCATCTGTCT